ACGTTTGAATTCTGAAAATGAGCGACTTTTCCTTTAATGCATCTTTTTGCGAATCCAGAGTTTTCCTGACTGCTTCCCTGTTTCCTTCCTCAGCTCGGCATCCAGATCTCTCTGTCTCATGAGAAGGAGCCTCTGGGAACTGGTGAGTTCCTTCATTCCTTCAGGCAAAATGTGGCTGAGGGTCGTTTTAGATACAAGAACGTGTGCAAAGCAACAAGGTGCATTAATAGACTTCATGTAGATGTTTACAGATGGGAAAGCAAGGGCCACAAAAAGACAGAAACTCTGTAAATATTTGATTTAAAGTCAGAATCTCTAGAATATTTTTACACATTTCATTAGTTAGAAATGCAGCAGGCGTTAAAACTGCGTGTGTTTCTGCAGCGGGGCCCCTGGCTCTGGCCCGAGAGCTGCTGAACGTGGACAACGAGCCGTTCTTCGTCCTCAACTCGGATGTCATCTGCGACTTTCCTTTCAAAGACCTGCTGCAGTTCCACCGCGGCCACGGCAAGGAGGGGACCATCGTGGTGAGAAACCATCAGAAATACGTCCTTTATGTGACGCTAGTGGAAAATAAAGTATTAAAAAAATCAACAGCCATTTTACTCCCAGTACAGCCAAACAAAAAACTGTACAGAGCTACAAATATTACAACTTTATTTTTTAAATATCTGCAAAAAGAAATCGGTCTCCATTTTAAGCACCAAACTGTTTATTTTCTGTTTTCAGTTTTTAAAATTAGGCCAAAACATAAAAATGTCATTAACCCCTTGAGCCCGGCGGGCCCGCTAATGGGCCCAGCTGACACCTGCTGCTCTTTATCTATTTAAAGAAATGGCCCAAACACAGTCACCTGGTGTTTCATCCACACGCCTTTCAAATGGGGCGCTAACAGTTCCAAAACAGGTTTTAAAATATTTTTTTCACAAGTACGTTTTGTTTTATAGCTGTGTAAAAAAAATAAATAAATAAAACGAGATGTAAAATTCCACCTGGCATGTGTGACTCTGCGGCAGTAATGTATGGAGGATTAAAAAGTGCCAAATTAAATAAATAAATACAGCATTAAATAAATAATTAAATGTGTCAATAATTAATTAAATGTGGAATTAAATAAATAAATGTGTCATTCATTAATTAAAACCACGTCACTAATATAAAGTGCCCCAATTAAATAAATAAGTACAGCGATAAACAATTAATTAAATGT